CCGATCCTGCCAGTAACGGGAGGACAGGCGTCCACTGAAGGACCACAAGGGGCCCAAAGATATAGAAGGCTGGGCAACGAGGGAGAGGAATTGTGGTGGAGACCACCGGACATCACGGCCGCATACAGGGCCTAGCATTGCCCCATAGGGTCAGGGGCGGGTTGGTAGTGACTCGGTCAAAGAGGCCTGGTGAGGGGACGGTTGGGTCCCTTAGAGTGTGTCAGTGGTTATTTTTTTTTGTATTTTGTGTTTCCCACTTTTGGAGGAGTTGAGTGTCAGGGCTTGTGGAGCCTGATTGTTATGTAGGCCTCAGGATCCGTGTTAGCTTTAAGGAAAGGCAGCGGCCTCGTGGCCTGCGGAGGATACCGCAGGTGACCGACGCTTTCATCAGGGAGACTCACCTCTCCCGCAAAAGTAATCAGGGGCTCAACGCTCGGGAATCTGGCCACAAGAACAGCAGTGACCTGCCAAGGCTAGGTGTAAGAGCGAGGTAGAGGGGAGGTGGAGCCTCGCAGAAGACTGCCGGATAGACGTTCTGCCATCCAGGGACTCTGAGTGGTTCGACCCTCCACTAAATAAGATTCAAAGTCATGGCAGGCGAAACTGGGGAAGACCACACCAGAAACGAACACCTACTCGACGGACTACCAAGGACAGTCACCATTGAACATTCGGACCAAAGCCGCACGTGACCGGGTGTTCGAGGCCAGGCAGACACACTGTTGAAGTACAAACATTCTAAAAAATCCTATGGTCATCAGGAAGTCCTGACCCAACTCAGAATATTCATTGTCAGCATGAAAATTAAAATCACCAAGGACAATTAACCTCAGTGATTTCATTGCTGCAGAACTGAGGAATTTAATCAGCTCAGGACTTCAATGGATGGATGGATGACTGCTGAACTAAAATCACCCTTCTTAATTTCAGCCCAGGATTCATGTAGAAGACAGACATGCTCTCTTAGTTCTGGGAAACCTAGTTATAAGGCTGGATACAGGAAGCATGGCCATGCATCCTGCAAATGCCCCTTGGTTCAAGGTACCCAGCTTTAGATAATTGCAATCAATGTTAGTTCAAAATGTTATTAAGCAGATTAAGTAATAAGCAAAGTCAGGGGCCTTCTCCTTTCTCACATCATGAAAATTCAAGGTTATTTACCACTGGCACTTCTTTTGTCATTCTGGACCTAAGAAAGGGATGACATCCTGATTTTATTGACATCAGTGGAAAATTCCCACTGGCTTCAATGGCAGCAAAATTTCACCCTAGGATTCTTGTGTGCTGACAACCCAGTTTACTGAGAAAGTTATAGATGAAATCATTTTCCAGGCATTTTTGTTTCACCATGTCTCCACATGCCCAATACCACAAGAATCAAGAAACCCAAACCTTCACAACTATACCAGACCTCTGTATTCCCAGTACTTGGAGGAGTTGTTTCACCCACCTTAGATGAAGGAAACTATTAAAGAAATGCTGCTAGTATGGGCTGGCAATTATTAACAACCTCCAGAGAAGGCTTGAAAAGGCATCACAGAACACAAACTCCTCCCAAAATAGCATCCCTTTTCATTCACAAGCTGTGTTTGATCTTCATATCTCACACCCCATAATCTCTACAACAGCATATATCTTGCAGGATTGTAAATTATACTAATAAATACACATATGTCTATATCCAGTTCAGCTACTCACAAAGAGATCCTGTAGGAAATAGAATATTTATTAAACGTATGATACTGGTATCAGGTTTTGTTATTTATTTTTACCCCAAATTCCTTCATAATCTTGAGAAGAATTTCTCAGTCATTCCAGATCTGCAAGATAAATTGTATCATTTTCATGCATGAGGTAAAGATATGAATATGACAAGCATGCACAAATTCTAGCTGTTCCCAGTGTGTTTGAATAAACCTACCAGGATGGAGTTAAATGGAGAAAGCCACAGCGCTTCCTTGCAGTTTGAGCTGAGTGCAGCCTTCTCTGATAACTGGGTTGAAATAAGAGTGATAACCCCTGTAGGCAGAACTCATTGAAAAATATTGATTGATTAGGGAAGATAATTAGAGCAATAAACTTTCCTATTATTATTACTGTTTTTAGTATTAAATAATTATAGTAATAGTTTAATTTTGCTGTGCCTTGTGCTATAACCTGATATCTAAATGCCTCACAAAAGGGCATAGTTTTGTAAATAATATTTTAATATTCTGCTGTCCTGTAATTCTAGAGTCATTAAAATAATAAAAGGTGACTGTATTATAATATTATTTTGTCTTGCTATTCAAATAAAGATTTATTGGGTGAGTTCCTTTCACAGAACAAGGAACAAAAGTTGGGACAATAAGGTACTACTATAGAGTGACCAATGGAGTTGGTCACTTGGGAAGCAAACAGGAAATGGTTAGTTGAGGATTGGTAAGTGGGAGCTGAGCATCTGTGAAGATGGGTGTCAGGCTGCTAAGAATGATATTTGGGAATGGAGTATATAGGAACAACAGTCAGGAGCTGAGAACTGGGCATTTAGGAACTCGGCAGCTGAAAGTGGAACCGGTTACTGAGAAATTAGGAGTAAAATTGGGACTGATTTGCAACTATGAATTGGAATTCGGTAGTTGGGATTTGAAGGTGGAACTGAGTTTTGGGGAAATATTTAAGGGTGATGATTGGAAAAGTCAGATGGAAAGAAAAGGGAAAAATGAAGAAAGTACTGTGAAAACAGCAGAGAACTTGGTAGGGGAGTGAAAAATATGAAAGATCTGGGAGGAAGAGATAACAGAATTCAGGGAATTGTGGGTAAGGGGAATAGGGTCAGATACATACAACTGAATTGAACAAAATGGACAAAAAGTAAGTTTCCAGTTGATCCTCTCGTAACATGGATATAAAAAGGTTAAATTGGTTGTTGACATGCATTTTGTTTAACCATGCAAAAAAGATCCATATTCCTTTGTTTATTGAAAAAAAATGTCACTACAGGCAGGAAGAGCTCTGCTGAGAGTTCATAGTATCATAGTGCTTAGGGTCAGAAGGGACCTAAACAGATCATCAGGTCTGACCCCCAGTTTAATGGGCCCAGATACATATACTTATTATTATTATTAACATGGCATGGGTTTTTAGGGTCAACAGCCATGAGGATCAGAATAAGGCAGACTGTTTTGAGTGATGTCTCTTTAAGTAGCTGAAGAAATTAAATGTAATGATCCAAAAGAGTCATGGCAGTTAAAAAATGAGCATTTGTAGTGAGAAACAGTGGTCTGTAGAAAGCACAGTGACAACAGCAGTGAGGCCAGGAGAGAAGGGAAACAGACCCTGAGGAAGGAATCCTGGTAAAGTGTGTATAAAAAGCAGCAACATGGATGTGAAAGAAAAACAGAGGCTCCTCAGTGCACAAGAAGCTTTGTATCTGACTCAATCAGACAAGCAACACGCTCTTCACCTTCTACTGTAAATAGATGCTGAATGCTACCTTTCAGATTTCACCATCTTCCACTAAAGAAAGCAAAAAGAAAACACATGAAAAACAACAGAAAAAGTATCAGCAAAAAAAAGGAATAAAGACCAGGAAAAAACCCCAAACAAGCAGAACTCTCTCCCCCCCACAACACATGCCTGACACTTTGAAAGGTGAGTGACAGCCTGGTGTATTTCGCTGTTCTGAGAGGGCTGACCTATTCCTGACCGCTTTTGTTTAACCAGAAAAATAAAATCTAATTCCTTTTCTTTGCTGAAGAAGTTACTGCCTCTAAGACAGTAATTTGCTGTTTCTGGGAAGGAACAACAGGTTCAGGAGAGGTCATTCAGTAGCACCGAGATATTTATATAAAGTGTCCTGAGAAGCTGGGTGACAGGCACGAACAAGGGAAATGAAGACTGGTGCAAGCAGCAGAGTGGTTTTGGGTGCACCTATATCGCATCAAAGAGCACTTCACATGGTGCAACACGGTCCAGATTAGCAGGAGACGTTACCCAAACGCTGCTGAATTGAACCTCGCAGCCTCTTGCGGATGTGCCGGGTCGTTGTGCCCCCTCCCCTGCTTTACAGGCAAACCAGCCGGGCCGCGGCTCTCGTAACAGCGTGCGGCAGCGGCGCGAAGCGTCCGGCCTGGCGGGACAGCGGCTGCGTGGCCGCTGCGCAGGGGGCTCCTCTCGCCGGGGAGCTCCCGGCGCCCCGCTCCCTAGCAGGCGGATGTTTTCCCGGCCGCCCCGGGCAGGAGGCGAGCCCAGGTCCCGTCACGGCCGCTCCCCCCGCCAGCGAGGCCGATGCGGGGCACAGGAGAGGCCCCC